CGGGGTCCCCAGTCTATGCTTTCACCTACTGCGATGTTCAACCTTTCAGCAATGTCTGTATCTTTAAAGCCACTATATTCAGGGCCGCTTTGTGAGAATGGCTGAGCGTGGCCTTAAAATGTGGAAATTAGAACCCAGAAGTGAAAATCTTAAAAACTTTAAATAGGTGGTTAACCAGCGTAGAGGAACAGTTATCACACCCAGGCTCTAGAATGGAGCCCCTTGCACTCTCCTCACTAAACATTGTAAAACTGTTTCCTGTAGTCACTTGGAAGGTTGGACACTTACCCAGAGAACAGCCAGATGTATGTTGGCCATTCCTTGATGCTTCTAGCAAAAGACAGGAGGAAAGTTATGTACTCAAGTGAGAACCAGCAGGCATGCAAGGGAAAGCTGTCAAGAGTGTCCAGAAATTGGTGCTGTGCCCTAAGACCAGAAGGTAAGATGGTGACTGCTCATAGCCTTTCTTGATTCCCAACTAGGAAAACCAAGGGTTCCAGCACTCAAGAAGCTTCTGTTAAAAGGGTTGCTTCCTCTTACTATTTATTCTGTGGCCTCAAAGAAGGCAGCATTTAAATTCAGGAGAGAGAAGTGGCCATGGAAATCAGGAGGTAACTTTGGCTCTGAAATGAAACCTGGTTGCCATCGCTGGCACATGGCATTGAGTGGAGGCAAATAGACCAGAAGCGTATCAGGTTTCTAAGGCACTTACACTTCATAAGCAGCCAGAAGCCAGGCCAGAAAATACCCTCAGACTTTCAAACCTACCCTGCAGGAAGCAGGACACTAAAATTACATGATCTCTCCAATACCCACTTCAGACGTGGCCTTAAAGCATGATGGGCTAATAAGAATTTCCAAGGAGCAAAATTTGGATTTATAAAATACACGGAAAAGTGTGTCATTGTCAGGACAGGAAACCGTCTCAACGCATCCCTGGTGGAATAGTCTTGATGCTACAGACAAACAACTGCTGAGTGTATTCAATTCTTCTTTTCTTTTACAGGACCGCTTATTATAGTTATTTTTTCCTTTTTTTTCCCCCTTGAGTTGAAGTCTCACTCTGCCATCCAGGCTGGAGTGCAGTGGCATGATCACAGCTCACTATAATCTCAACCTTCTGGGCTTAGGAGATCCTCCCATCTCAGCCTCCTGAGTAGCTGGGACTACAGGCATGCACCAACACGCCAGGCTAATTTTTTGATTTTTTGTAGAGATGAGGCCTTGCTATGTTGCCCAAGCTGGTCTTGAACTTCTGGACTCAAGCAACGTTCCCACCTCGGCCACCCCTAGTGCTGGGACTACAGGCATGAGCCACCATGCCTGGTCTATTGTAGTTATTTTGATCACACTCAAGCACTGTATCATGGATGTGTTGGGACAATGATTTTATTTTCTAGGCTTCCACATGCTTCAAAATCTGAACCTAATGTCAGAGCATCCCACAGAGAAGCTGTACTTTGAGCTGGATATGGAAATAGGACAGAGCTTTGGTTAATCTCCTGGTGAAGGATGAGGACTTGACATGGGGAAGGATGCAGATGGGTACTGAGTGGCCAGATGGTAGACTGTGGCACAGACTACTGTGTTCACTACAATTTATTCTCTCTTTCTGAACACATCTCTCCAGTCACATGATATTTCCCATTTCTCTCTGCAGTAGTTGGGTGTGTCCAGGTGATCATCTCACTGTTGGAAGGGGATCAGAAGCAATGAGCACCATTTCTGGTCCTGGGCCTTAAGACACCGGTCATTTCTCCCTCGCATCCTCTGTGCTCGTTCTTCTTCCAGATCAGTGGAACACGCATGGTGGTGATCTACCTTCTACCATGTAGACAAGCACAGTCACCTCGAGAAGGATGTACAAAGTGAAAAGCCCTTTGCCACTCAAGATTTGCTCTACAAGCAGCTCCCCCATTGCTCTGTGCCGGGAAGCCTTGAGGACGTCATCAGAGCTCCCTTGTCTTAGTTCAGAGGATGAAAAGATAGTTATGTCAGAGTGTTTATTCCCTGCACTCTCTCTCTGCTGAGCTGTCACAGGTTGGCTACATCCTTCTACCAATGCCATGGCCTCTGTTAGGAGAGACTGCACTTGAACTACTCTCCTCGCCTTAGGAACCTCGTCTTGCTCCTCCAAACCTAGGGGTGGAAAGGGTTCCCAGTTTGCCCCCACTCTACCTCTTCTCCACCGTTCTGAGTACTGGAGTACTTTACAGTGTCTTGCTAGGTTCCCTTAGCCTCCCCACTCCTATGTCAACAGTTCCCTTGGAGAACATTCCCCTAACAGCCAGCCCTTCTGAGTGTGCCTTCTCGTTCCTGCAGGGTTGATGAATGTTGTCTCTGGGTGGCCCCATCAAGAGAAGCTGCCCTACTAATAACTTATCCAAGAATTGTTCAATGAAAGAGAAATAAACACTCATATTTTTTAAGGCACTGTATTTTTTTGTTCTATTTCTTATGGTAATTTAAGCTTACCCTAATTCATAGAGTGGTTTTTTTCCTAAGAGTTTGTTCATTTCATATTTTCAATTTTGTTGGCATAAAGTGATTCCTCCAGTCTTCATTTTATCCCTCTAATGTGTATAACATCTGAGTGTTTAATTTTTTTTAGATTAGAAAACATAGCTTATTTAGAAAGAAAATTAGAGGGAGAAAGAGGTGATTCACCTCCCCAAGGTAGGGGAGGAAGCCAAAGCTTAAGAAAACATGGCCTGGCCATAGCTCAAAGAGCACATGGTCATACCATAGCTCAGCAAAGCAATGGCCACATCTGAGTGTTTAATTTTCATTTCCAATGTTGGATGGTTGTCTAAATTCCAAGGGTTTCATTAGAGCTAGCCATTATGGGAGAATCTCACCTTTCATGTCACCATTTAAACTCTGGTCTCCACTCTGATGAAATGACTGTATGTCTTCTTTTCCTAGACAGCAAGACCTTTTCAAGTCCACTGATTCTCTCACTGCCATCCCCACATCCTTCTGGGCACATGGGAGTTTGTCAGCTTCTGTGCCAAGTTCAAGTGCAGGTAATAAGATGCCCTTTTTCTCCCCCCTGCCCCTTTCTCAGTAAGCCACATTGCCATTTCTTTTCTGCTGTTATATCAGGCTGGGCACAGAGAGACCTCAGGGCTTTTTGACTTTTTTCTAGGCTCTCCCGGTGAAAGGACATATTGGTCCCCCAGCAGTCAGATCCCACACATTTCCTGAGGGGTTTTTATCACCCAGCCTTTCTACCTCAGCCTGGAGAAAAGGCAGAGCAGGACCCACCAGCCTCTATAATCTCTTTGACTTTTTTTTCTTCACTCTGTTTATCTTCTCTAATCTGGTCTAGAGAGTGTGAGGGTTAGGGACTTTAAAAGATGATTATTTTCTTCAAAACTGACTCTCTCTCTCTCTGTGTATTTATATATATATCCTTAATTCTATTTCTTTCTGTGTTCTCTGTTGGCTAGGCTTTTGAAACTTAAAATCTGATAATAAACTGTAACAATTGCTGAATGTTCATTCCTCCCTTGAAGTGATAAATACTATGAAGTTTTAGTGTCTAAAGCACAGAAGGTTACATGAGGTAAAAAGTACGATGTTATCCTGAGATAAAACTTTTCTGTAAAACTTGCATCTAACTAAGAATGTTCTTTAGGAAATAAGGAAGCCTAATCAAAAGAGAAAAAAATCAGCCAATCACTCCACAGTAAAAGTCACCAAGAGGGAAGGAGGTGCTTATGGTGCACTGATTCCATTAACAGTTTGCAAAATGTTGTCCTCGTTTTTTGACCAGGTAAGGGACACATCTATTCATTCTCATTAAACTAGGCTTAGGTTAGTCATTAAGATAGGGCTTTAGTCCAGAACCGTTTATTCCCTTCAGATTCCTCAGGGCTAAGTGTATTGGAGGTTGCTTCGTGTTTATTGAATTAACCAGAAGAGCAAGTGACAGCAGTTGAAGTAATTGCCTCAAGGCCTGATCTCATGGCTCAGACCCAAGTGTGCTGTTATGAACAATATCCATGGAAGACTGGTTCCAGGGCTCCTGGTGGATGCCAAAACCCACAAAGATCAGTCATGTACTCACAGTCCCCTTACCAAACAAGTACGAACTACTCTTACCAAACATGTAGACACTCTGGTCTATCTAGAGTCTACAGCTCGAGTCCCTGGTGTAAAGTGGTATCATGTTTGTGTGTACCCTACGCACCTGCTCCCACAGAGTTTAAATCCTCTCTGGATTACTTATAATACCTAATACATGCCGTGGAAATGGTGACTATGCTGTGTTGTTTAGGAAATAATGATAAGTTCACTACAGACACACCCATCCATTTCTCCTGAACATTTTTGATCTGCAGTCGGTTGAATCCATGGATGCAGAACCCACAGGTACGCAAGGCCGACTAGCCTTCAGATATAGGTATCAGGGCAAAGAAAGACCTATCACAGATGAACACCGAGCCTGGCCCTGCTCTAGGGTGGCTGCGGAGAGGCCTGGTCAACAAATTTCCCAGAATCCGACTTCCTGTGTTTCTGTATGAGAACGTGAGATCTTGGGGGCTTTGGGCAGTCCCACGCCGCTAGTTCTTGCTTTTATCCCCAGGCTGCGTGCGACACTGGAGCCACAGTCGATGCCCGGTGCCACTGGGGAAGAGGCTAGGAATCTAAGTATTCCAACACTAGTCTTCCTCCTGGTCTCGGCTGCAGGTGCCCTAGAAGGCCAGTTTCAGGAGTCAACTTGGTAACTTAGTTTCCAGGCCTCCAGGGGAGTGGGATATCTCCCTGGCCACAGCCCACACATCGTGCTAGCAAAGAGTTGGGAAGTCTGATCCTTTGTCGGATGGTCACTAATTTAGCTTGCAGTTTGGTGGTTCTTTTGTAACCTCTCTCGACCCCTGTACCTCCAACCACAAGAAGAGCCGTACACACTTGTGTGGGTGTTTGCTATTTATTTGCAGGCCATGTGTCATACAAGCCCCAGCCTCCTTGTCCTGGACATGTGGACCTTCTGGACGATCTGGGGTCTACAGCTCACAGTACAGCGCTCTGTGAAACACGGTGCCTATGAGGATTTTCCCTTTGTACACAGAGGCCACGGAGGTGCCCTGCAGCACAGAGCCATTGTTGGTGTACACGGTGCTCACCCTGGGCTGCTCCGACAAGACGTCGTGGATGCAAAGCACCTGTGGAGAAAGGTCGGTCATCAGGGCACTATGTGGGCATATAGCATCCTGTGATGTCCTTCCTAAAGATACCAGGACGAGGCTACTTTCCAAAAATCAGTGCACTAAAATCTGTATGTCTTCAAACAAAATTTCTTCTTCTGACGAAAGCACTGACGTCTTGAGGGTATCCGCGCACCTAAGTGACGGGCTACCTGACACTGACCACATTCTTCAGTGGATGGCTTATGCAGTTTTGATGACTCAGGCATCCCCTGCAGGAGGAGGTACAGCCCAGCCGAGGCTCTGACTTAATTGTTAGCCCACTGCCGGCCATCTCTCCAGGAAGGGTCTTTTGCCTTTGGCTAAGCTTACAACATGGGGAGGGAAACATGGGACAAAATGAAGGAGGGCACCAGTTATCCAGTCAGCCCAACTTGGTGACTGGTAGGGTGACAGTCATCACAGCTGAGCTCCCCACAGCCACAAAGCAGCTGGAAGGCACACGGAGGGCACACCACATTGGCATTCTACCTGACTCACCACTGCCTCGTACTGTTATTGACTCCCGGATCAACACACTTAACTTTGCTCATCAGTAAATATTTAAGCACTCAGTTTTCCAAATAGCCTGGAGGAAGTTAACACAGACAGAATATGACAAGGAAAGAAAGAAAGACTCAGAGACGGACACATCATGAGCCTATATCGAATCGATATCTCTTATTAGAATAGACTTTGTTCTGTTTTTAATCTTACAGAAGATCTTATAACTTCATCTCAGGCTTATTATACAGAAATACTTAGGCTTGGGTCGCATTTAGGAAACATGACACCCCAGCAAAGTAAATAGTGTCAGGAATTGTGAAGAAAGAAGTCTTAGCTGGAAAACAAAGGATTAAATTCAAAGATAGAGATCTGAAAGCAATCCTCAGCAATGTCTCTGCATCCTGCAGATCTTGTTTTCATGCCCTTAAGGCTGACTCTGTGGCCGGACTTCTGGAGGAAAGCAGTATCCATCACTCCCATGGGCTGCTACTAGAGGCAGGGGAGCTTGCTAGTTTAGGGTAACGATTCTTTAGGGTCTGGGCTCAGCCTGCACTGTCATTTCTTTTAATATTTCTTGGTTTTCTTTGTAAGAAGTTGTGACTACTATGTTAATAAAAGAGAAAAAATATATTTTTTAAACTGAAAAATAGCAATACTGGAAGTAAAAATCACTGTGCTCTAATTTACCCACTGGGTCAGCTACTGCATTAGAATTTGAATCCCAGTTTCCTAACTCCCCAGACATGGATTCAGACGCTTTAACCTTTTTTCAAACTGCACTTTCTCAGTGAGGCCTGCCCTGGTCTCTTCATTTAATAATATGGCCTGCCCAGCCCCCTCCGTGCAGCAGTCCTGGCCCCATGCTCTGCTGTACTCTTCTTTTTTTTTTGAGTTGGAGTCTCACTCGATCGCCCAGACTAGAGTGCAGTGCCAGCTCCCGGCCACCACAGCCTCGACCTGCTGGGCTCCGGCGATCCTTCCGCCTCAGCCTTCCGAGTAGCCGGAATTACAGGCATGCGCTACCACGCCTGGCTGATTTTTTGATTTATTGTAGAGATGAGGTCTCACTGCCCAGGTGGGTCTCGAACCCGCAGGCTCAGGCAATCCACTCACCTCAGTCTCCCAAAGGCGCGGGATTACAGGCTGAGCCACCGAGCCCGGCTTGCTGTGCTCTTCTGCCACAGGACTGACTGTCTTCAAGCTCGCTGTATAGCTTACCTCTAATGTTCACTGGTCGTCGTCTGCCCCTCGCTAAGAGCAGGGACCTTCGTATGTTTTATTTCTGATAGAGCCGAGGCAGAACAACTTCTGACACATTATAGGCACTCAATACATTTTTGTGAACAAATCCCTGTGTGTGTGCCAAGAATTTATAGCTACATTTAAATTCACTAGAGATTGCTTTATTCTTGAACTTAATGCTGTAGAAAATGCGATGCCTTCTAACATTGTTTAATGCCATATAACATTCAATGGTTTATGCAATTGTTTTAGAAGAGATTTTTAAAACAACATCTTCAAAATAAGATACTCTTCACACCAAACATCATATGTGTTAGAATAAAAATTCCTTCTGTTTTGAGACTGCAGTCATTAAACGCTTTTGAGCTTCCGGCTGGGTGGTATGGAAGAAGCTGGGTCCCCACCAGCACCACCTGCTCAGAGCCTATGTCCTAATTGGAAATGTGACACGGCCATCTGGTCAATGCACATAATCAGGCTCATGTTTCTCCATCGTTCCCAACAGCAAGGACAGGACTTGCAGGGATGGGAGATACTGTCAGGTCCATGGTAAGTTGGTCCCCAGTGGCCAGAGAGAGTGGTGACCTGTATCTACCTGCCAAGACCTCCGCTCTTCTCACATGCAGAATATATTCAGCTCTACCACATCAAATGCGACCCGCTTAAATTCTCCTGTCACCCCAACCCAGTGTTTATTCTTCCAGCTTTGCCTGTGAGCTCAGAAAAGCATAACAACTTACTTCTGACCCTGGAGGGTCCTCAGGGTTATACAGGAGCAGCTTCATGGGGTTCGGATGGCATCCTGCCAAAATGTCTCCCGTGGCAGGATCGACAGTCAGGTTATCCACTAAGGTGCCCAATGGTAGTACCTTCCAGCAAAGAGGGAGAGGTGAGGACTTGTCTCGACTGCTCTTCTCTTTCTTCCCTATTCATCACCCCCGGCCCACAGCTCTTCCTGACCCCTAACATTGGTATTTGAAGTGGGCATTGCTACTGTCTTTTAGAAATGCCCTAATAACCCTTCCCCTTGTCTCCCATTTAGCCCACCACCATGGCAGCAATCATGTGACTTGCCCACCCATCTGCCTGTTGTCCATCACCTGATATCAGCACCTGCGCTTACCTGCCCCTTTGTGATGACGTGGAGCAGATGTCACCACGAATCACCTTAATGACCTGCCCCCATCAAAGGGAAAAGTTGAAAGGCCTCAACCATGAACAGCCATTTTGTCATTGCCTTGCTAAACTATGGTGTGAACATGTGTTCTTTGAGCTATGGCTGTCGCCATGTTTCTTAAGCTTTGGCACACTTCCCTACCTTGGGGAGGCAAATCTCCTCTTTCTCTCTCTCATTTACTTTCTAAATAGACTATATTTTCTAATCTAGAAAGGAAGGAAGGAAGGAAGGAAGGAAGGAAGGAAGGAAGGAAGGAAGGAAAGAAGGAAGGAAGGAAGAAATGCCTGCATAATCCTACCAGCATTGCTCTCAGGTGGCCGTGATTTCCTCATTCAGGGAGCTTGTCCTGGATCAAGCCGGGCTAAGGTGAGGCCATGCCATATGGGCCAGCCAGGGGGCTTTTACCTTCAGCGGAGTCAAATCCCAGTTGTCACGTTTTTCCATTATGTGGATGTTCTTTGCCATGACATCGGCTATGTAGACATATCTTAGAAATAAACAGCATTGACATTTAGGAAAGTAGTAATGAGAGATCACCCTCACTTTGTTTTGGAGAAGAGGCATAAGAATTCACAAAGTACCACTTCAATGCCTGTCTAAATCACAATAAAACAAGATAACAGAATGAAATTTTTAATGTTTGTGAAGTACTTTAAACAAATTTGAATATGAGCTACTACTATTATAAGATGGGTTTTTCTGGGTAATGTATGGGTTCAGTCTTACTACTTCAGAGTCAAAGTTTTTCCCTTCAATTGGATGGCGATAAGTAGACTTCATAAGGCCTGAAGAGTATATACTTTCAAAAACTAGTGCTTGAAAAGCAGAAGTATCAGCTGACCATCAAGTTCAATCGCATCGATTTCTTAAAAAATGAAGAACACTTAGAGTGTTTTCCACATGAATCATGTTTGTTCACGATCTCAAACATGGTGTTAATATTCAAGGTACTCCTATTTTTAAAAAGCCTTCCAAGTTTTAAACACTTACAAAGAGTGTTTTCTCATAAAAGTTTGTGTTTTCTCATTGAATAGTCTGCTGCTGTAAACCAGAAAGTCTGGAACTCAAACAGTCACTCTGCTCAATCTGAGGTGGGCTTCCTTCTTTGGGAGGGGCTTCAGGGCAACCGAACTTGGTATACGTGGTGACATACCCTCTAGCCTCACAAGGGGCAGAGGCACTGGACAGTTATCCTTCTTTCTCGTGTGTTAAAAATGTGTGTTTCTAGAGTCACGTTAGCATTTGGAACAAGGGACTTACATCCTCGAGTCCAAATGCCTCCTCTTACTGTGGGAGCCCGAGGTGCAAGGGGACACATGGCTTGCTTAAAGTCACAAATTTAGTGTAAGCCCTGGCTACGCCTGACCCTGACACACGTATATCCACTGCTGAAGCCTAAGGATGTGACTACCTCTTAAGGGAAGGAGTCCACCAAAAGTCAAGGGCAGAGGATAGACACATTTATGAAAGAGCTTACTTCTGGTCCAGGGAGACCGTGATCCCATTGGCAGAATGAAACCCTTCAGCCACCACTTTGACCTCCCTTGGGCTGTAGAAGAGCACATGGGTCCAGGGGAGATTCAAGATCATTTCAAGAAGCACCAAGAAGAAGTTGGTAAAATAGTGGTCTCTGGTGGCATAGAACTGTTCTGGTCCAAGCACCACAATGTCATTCACACTAAAGTGAGAAAGCGAGAGAGAGACAGAGAGAGAAAAAGAGAGACCTATGAGATATGTAAATATCCTGGTTGTTGTCAATATCAGTCATCTCTACATGGATCAATAGGTTTATCAATTTGAAAAAGTATACATGAACAGGGATGGATACAATCATTCCACAGAAAGTTGTGATTTGGGCTTGCCCTGGTAGGTTTTCTCTTCCCTTCCACAGAAGTCAGTAAAAAGGAGTGCACAACTGAGCCTCCAGCTCCAAAGTCTGTGACTCGCGTGTTGGCAATGGTTGCCTGTGGTGACTGGAGTGCCACTCACCCACAGCTATGACTGTCCTCCTCAGAACTCAGACCTTCCCAGCCTGGTGCCAGATGCAGCCAGGTAACTTGCTTTGTCCAGTGACATGAAGAGGTGTGTGGCTTCTGGACGGAAGGCTTTCAGAGTCGGTGCTTGCCTTACTATGCTTCCCTCAAGTTTCCATAGTTTCAAGAGCAACTTTGCTGATAGTGGAGACTGTGGTCCTCTTAGGGCCCTAACTGGGGATTGTATAAAACCGAGCCCCCAAGTCAACTATGTTGGATGTGTAGCAAGAGTGAGAAAACAAAACAAAATGTTGTGATTTTGAACCACTAAGATGTTCAGATTTTTATTTTCTGTTATTGTAGCATAAACCCTTCCATTACGACCTTTGTAATTTCTCCGAGTGGATGGGACTGAGGGTGATATTCTTTCTTATGTTCTTCAACAAATTAACATCTCTAAATGGAGTGAGTCTTACTCTGACAGTCAGTAAGAACAAGAAAGTCTTTCATTTTCATAAAGAAGCAAAAAGTAATTTTAAAATACTTAAAATAATTAAGTATTTTTTAGATTAAATTTGGGGAAAAGGGAAATTTGGATGAATCAGGAAATACTCAGAGGTGCTGACATACGATGACTTTTCAAGGTCACTGGATGCTCATTTTTGTGTCTCAGCAAATCACTCTTCCCCTAGAATGTGCTGCTTGACAGGGCTTTGGGTTGCATTCCCCACCACTTGGTCCTTTGTCTCCATGCAGCCCCTGTAAGTGCTGGCCGGCTGCGTGGTGTCACATGCCCCTCACAGGTGCCGCCTAGCAGCACCCAGCCCCACGCCTGTGTGGGCCTCCTGCCTCCCACCCCTGATGTCTGTGTTGATGGCAAGCCTGTGCAGACTCAACATCCAGGAGTGTGGGAGAGTGGAGGCCTCTTGAGGCAAACCTGACAACAGAGAGGTGGGCAGGTGGGTACACTCTTTTCTCTCTCTTACTTTGGCCGGGTTGTCCTGAGTTGCAGCTCGGGCAGTCCACGAGAGGATAGTCCCACAATCTCAAGTGTGGGCTGCTCTCGACAGTGGCTGCTGCACCTTGCATTGTGACACCTCCCTCTGTATGTGCTGCCTGGGGCTGCCCTGGCAGCACCACACACCAGGCTCAGGACACCAAATATGAATTGCCTCCTGCTTCTGCAGGGGAGACGTCCAAGGTCAAGTCATTGGCAGGGCCATGCTCGCTCTGAAGGATCTACGGAAGGACCATCCTTTTTTCTTCTGGCTCCTGGGAGGCCCCGGCATCCCTTGGCTTGTAGATGCGTCACTCCAATGTCAGGCTCCATCTCCACATGACAGTTGACTGTCTTCTTATGAGGAAGCCGGTCCTATCGGAGTAACTCTTCTCCAGGATGGCTTCATCTTTACTGATAACACGGACAATGACACTGTATTCAGATAGTGTCACATCCTGAGGAGTTAGTGGTTGGAATTTCAATAGGGGAAGGGGTCACCCGTCAGGTTTTCCTCAGGCTGTGCCTTCTGGAGACTTCCTGTAAGGTCCTACCCTCCTGCTTGTCATCCTCACAGTCCACCAGTTAGGGAAGTCAGGCGGATGGGAGAATTTCCATTTCGTTGCAAAAACTGAGGCACAGATGAAGCGACCTGTCTGGTTTCCCAGCAACCCTGGGGATGTCCTGTCCCCACTGTGGTCTTGGAACCCAATACAGTGCATGATGGGAAGAGCTCCAGGACTTCTGCTTCTCGTACCTCTTTGACCCCCTGCATGTGTTGCCCGCAAGTTTCAGGGGGAGAAGTTTACACACGATGCTGAGAAGATGAGCCATGGAGAGAAGGTGGCCTTTCACTTTTCCCGTCTTCTATCCTGTGCAAGGGTCTACCATTTGGACTCAGTCTTTGAGTACCAAGTCCGTTTTAAAAAACATGAATTATTTGTTGTTTGCTACAGCCTTTAAACAGACAGCTTACCCCTGAGAAGCTTCCCGTTTTGCTGAATGCCATAAGACTTCCATTGTTGCCATGAGAGTTCAGCTTTGAATCCAAGTACATCTAGGTTGACACCTGCTTCTCCTATTTACAAAAGGTGTGTCTTGGGCAAGTTACCTAACCGAGGGCTTCTCTGAGACTCAGTATAATCCTGTCTATTATTAAAGGCCGCTGTGAGAATTAAGTTAAATTAAGTATTTTGGCCTGGTGCCTGGCACAATCAATGTTTAATACATGTAATTTGTGTAAGTGCCCACGGGTTCAACTTTAAAGCTCTGACAGAACAAAGAAGTGGCTCATCTGGAGGTCGGTTCTAACACCCAGTGGGTGGAGCTCATGGAACACAACCCTCTAGGACAACCAGAAAAGGGAGGAGGTGTTCAAAGGAGACATGAGGGCAGGGACTGAGTGCTGGGTCAGGAGGATGGAATTACAGCAGGGAGGCTAATTAAGCACCTTTAAGGGATTAAGATGCTTTCAAAACGTCTGGAAATGCAAGGATATTTAATTCTGAGCACAGCAGTTTCTAGAGAGGGGCAGGGCACGGTCACCGTGGGGAGTCTAGGGAGAGCTTTAGAAAAAGCACCATATGTTCTTACTTATAAGCATACCCTGAACAATTATCACAATACTATAAGAAAGGGATTGGCAGTAGCAGGAAACTGCTGGCAGGGGGAGGATGACTCTCCTCATCAATAAGGGTGCCTGATCTGAAATCGGGTGAAGTGGGGACCAAAGTGAGGTCCAAACTTTACCTATACAATGGCCATTTGTATACCTAACCCTGAATTGTATGCCACATCTTTAAAATAAAAATAAAAATTACAAATTAAAATAATTAAATAAAAAGCACCACAAAACGTGCACTTGGCCTGCCGAGCCGAACTGAGGAAGCGAGACTCCCAGCAGAGGTGTGAGGTACACAAAGACCACAATGCTTCCATTCTTACCTCTTAAGAAGCTCGTGCCTGATGGTTTTCAGATACACCAGAGAACGCTGTTCCTCCTCAAATTTAAATATCTCCACAGTGGACTGCGCATGGGGGTGATTCACAACGTAGAGGTACACGGTCCTGTCTACGCGGGGAAAGGCATGATTGCCACCAATATCTGGCTTGTTTTGAAACTTGGTCCCTCCCAAAAATTTTCTTCAAACATCTCGCAGTCGACCCTTACAGTCCCCCCAACAGGTGAGTAAGACAAAGGCCAGGACCTCATTCTGTTGAGGACATTGCAGCTCAGGAGGGGAAGGGTACATTGGCGATTCCCCCACATTGCAGCAGAGCCGTGACCCTGTGCGAGGTCCCTCCAACCTCATGTGCTCCCCCACCAAGGAGACAGAGCTCAAATGAGGGGTCCATGGGGCCGAAGCTTCCCCGACGGCCCTTCAACAACAGAAGTGGGGGCGAGCAAACAAGATGTGGGAGGAATGTGTGTGTGTGATAACTGTCTACTTTGCAACACAAGTTTGAGAAATGTCAGCAAATTCTTCAAAATAAATGATGTTTCCCAGTGGGACCATGGGTTGCAGACATATGTCACCACCTGACGTTGTGACAGCAGTATCTAGGGAATGTGGTGGACATGGAACGTGGAGTTGAGTGCACAAAATGAAAACAGATTCCAGGTGCTACCTGCCTCCAGCACATCTGCCCACCCATTCCAGACAGAACCTGCTATGAGCCGCATGGAAGCCAGACCTGGCCTCTCAATACTGTCCTCCATCCTACGGGAAGCTCTGGGCTTGAGATCAGGAGTATTACAGATCTGGTCCCATTCTCCCCCTGCAGGACTCATTCTGTGTTTGTCCTCCTTAGACCTTTCCTGGATATGGCTTCCAAGCAGGTGAGGGGACAAGCTCAAGCCCTGAGATGTAGTTCAGACCAGAGCCTCTGAGACACACTGGGCACCGCCGTGCCAGTTAAGGAAAGGTGGCCCACCCAGGTGAATCTTTCTTCTGGTCTGACCCAGTGCTGGTCCAGGGCTCAGGGCTTGTCAGGCAGAACACAGGCTGGGCTTCCACCTTGGTGTGGCCCTGCAGCCAGACACCCCCATGTCGGACATGCCCATGGACATTCATGGGGCTATCCTGGCCTTGTTTCTTCCAGGGTCTCCACGGGATCCCTCCGTCCACAGGAGACACTCAGTGAGATGCTATTTCTCTGTCTCCTCCGCCAGCCCAGATTGTGTGCAATGTTTCGGCCCTTATGAATTAAATACATAATTAAGGGAGATGACTCATAAGTAAGATGTCAAGCACAATACACTTAACTCTTGGAAGCCTGGCTATATGGCTATCTCAAAAACAAGACCTAACAAAACACTGAATCAGCCCACCCCACCTCTGTGCTGTCCCCACAATGGACAGATACAGGCAGATCTGACCACCACTCCTATCCCATCTCCAGGGACGCATCTCACAGCAAGTTTGGTGCCAGGCAGATAGCAGTAGCTCTGAATTCTTTACACAGAGCCTGAAGCCCTCATTTCAGCCCAGCAGAAGACACAGGAGTGGAAGTGGCACCTACAGGTCCACCTGGCTCAATTCACAACGGCAGAAAGGAGGTCGAGCCTCATTGCCCTTCCCCAGCTTCCCTGCATCCATCTGTAAAGCTGATTGCTCCTGCCTTCTCTGCCTGTCCCATGGAGGCCATTCATTTGTTCACATCACACACCTTTGCAGGTGCCTGCTGTGTATCACATGCTGTTCTAGACTCTGGAAATCCAGCAGTGAACGAGCTACCTGTGCTTTTGTGGTGATTATATTCTAGCGAAGCAAACAAGCAAAGACAGGTTAGTCACTACACCAAGCACAGAGCCTGCTAGAGCGGAGAGGCATCTTCTTCACACGGTGTCACCTGCCTGATGAGGGACAGCGTGGGTCTGAGGACACAAAGGCGCTTGCTGAAGCTGCAGGAAACACAATTGTCCTCTTTCAACATAAAAAGCAAAATGCTAGCTCTCATTTTGATGAGTTAGGGGAAGGCAGCACCCTTAGAATAAGTACAACAGGGCCCGTGACATGGCGCAAGATGGCAGGAAGGCTTCTCGGAGGTCGTGGTATTTAAGCTGAGGCCTGGGTGATGAGAAAGACTAGGCCAGATACAGCGAAAAGACATTCCAGACAGGGACACTCCCTAGAACTGACAGAAACTCAGTGTGGCTGTCCAGAGAGTCTGGGGAGAGGAGTTTCCAAGGGAGGCTGAGGAGTGTGCGGTCAGTAGCCTGGAGAGCGCCCAGGAGCCTGGCCATGGGGTCAACCTCAGGGCAATGGAGGAGAAGGGAGTGACAGATTCGCATGCAGAGTGAGTCAGTGCAGTGGACAAAGGCGGGGGGGGGGGGGGGGGGGTTGTGTGTGTGTGACTGCAGCACTCAGGAAGGCATAGTGGGAGGCGCGGGGGAAGGCAATGAGGATGGGCGGGGAGGACAGGTGGTCGAGGCTGGAGAGGCTTTGAGACGGGGAACCAAGCAGGACATGTTAATACAGTGATGGCGTGGGTGGGGGGGAGGAGGGATGCATCCAGGTTGGGCCCAGGGTTTTTATCTTGAGAATAAAGACACTATTATATATGAAAATGCTTTGTAAATGGTAAACCAAAGCAACGCTGTTAGGTGCAATTATCTTTTAAAGCAAGGCTTGCTAAGCAAATAAAATGAGGATTTAAGATTGTGGGGGGGGATATTTAACCTACTGAATAGAACAGCATTCAAGCAATTTCAAAGGGACTCACTTATTTAAAAATGAACACATCTGTGTTCATTTTATAGACCAGGGATATTGAACAAAGATCTGTGAGATGTGTATAAAAATAATTATTAATTATTCTTTTTTATTCATTAAAATCACCCTCTGCAAATCTATACTTTGCACAGATACACTGTAACTCTAGTATGTATTTGGGAGAATTAGAATAACATGTCTTTAAACATAATGAATTCAACACTTCAATTTGGCCTTCCTTTCATGTTGTTACTATTATTGAGACTTCAGTGTCCTTATTTTTTTACAGGCTTTATAGAGCCACAGATACTTAAAAATTAAATTAGTTTGAAATAAGGAACTATGGACAAATCAAAACTATTATTGGAAATTTTTTAAAGCATATACAATGTACTAATAACTATGCTATATTTCTATCATCTTTTTTGAGATATAATCACACACCATTACACTCAAATTTTTAACATGTAAAATCCAGTGGGCTTTAGTATTTTCACATAACTACTGTTTAGTTCCAGAAACCTGCCCCTGTCTATCACGCTCCCCGAATCCTGCCAATCATTCATCCACTTCCTGTCTCTATGAAGTTGCCTGTTCTGGATAGATACTTCATATAAATGGCATCAGTAGTTCATTCACTTTTATTGTCAGATAATATTCTACGACATAAGAATATGTTTTGGCATTTGGGTGAGTCCCTCTTTTTGGGCATCAGGAGCAATGTTGCTGTGAACACCTGGATAGGTTTTTGTATGGACATGTCCTCAAGTCTCTTGAGTGTACACCAAGGAATAGAGTTGCTGGATCATATATAACTCTACATTTAACATTCTGAGAAACTACCCAACTGCTTTCCCAAAGGGCTGCATCATTTCACAACTCTACCAGCAAAGTGTAAGTGTTCCCGTTTCTCTACATCCTTGCCAACCTTTATCCCTGTCTGCCTTTTTTATTATCGCCATCCCAGTGGGTGCAAAATGACATCTCTCTCACTCTGGTTTTGATTTGCATTTTCCTAATGACTAAGGATGCTGAATATCTTTTCATGTGGTTATTGGTTATTTGTATATCTTAGGAGAAATGTCTATTCTGATCCTTCATCCATTAATAATGGGGTTGTTTGTCTTTTTGGTGTTGAGTTGTAAGAATTATTTATATGTTCTTAATATAAGCCTGCCATCAAATATATATGATTTACAAATATTATCTCTCATTCTTTAGGGTTTTCACTTTCTTTGTTGTTATTATTAATTTAATAAAGAAATTACTTCTTTTTAGAAAACTTATTTTTATTTTATAGTTATGGGGTCTCACTATGCTGCCCAGGCTGGTCTCAAACTGGACTCAAGCAATCCTCCCATTTCAGTCTCCCAAAGTTTTAAGATTTCAGATGTGAGCCATCATGCTAGGCTTATTTTTCACTTTCTTGATGGTGTCTTTTGAAGTACAGGAGGTTTTGAATTTTGATAAGTCCAATTTTTAATCTTAAAAAAAAAAAATTAGTCACCACACCTGGCTAATTTTTCTATTTATTGTAGAGACAAGGTCTCACCGTGTTGCTCAGGCTGGTCTCGAACACCTGAGCTCAGACAATCCTCTCACCTTCGCCACCCAAAGTGCTAGGATTACAGGTTTGAGCCACCATGCCCAGCTATTCATTTAAAACTCAATTATATTTATTTAGTATTATTTCTTAGTCAGGGTCTCACTCTGTCACCCAGGCCAAATATAGTGGCACAATCAGGGCTCACTGTAGCCTTGAACTCCTGGGGTCAGGTGATCTTCCCATCTTAGCCTCCTGAGTAGCTGGGACTATAGGCAAGTGCCACCATGCTTGGTTAATTTTTTTACTTTTTTGTAGAGATGGGGTCTTCCTATGTTGCCAAGGTTGGTCTTGAACTCCTAGGCTCAAGCAATCCTCCTTCCTCAGCCTCCCAAAATGCTGGGATTACAGGCAAGGGTCACTGCACCCAGTCATGTTGTTTCTTTATGTTATATTTTTAAATGTCACACAATTGTTTTCAAAGGGCCTTTAGTTTATATATTAGAATTCTGAGAACAGTATTCAGACAGGTTGTGACAGTCAAACAAGAAGAAAGGTGAATAGGAGGAAGAGGAGCCTGCATAGGGCCAAAAATACTAGACTTCCTTCTTTAATACAATGTTTAAAATGTTTTTGGCTGGGTGTGGTGCCTATAGTCCCAGCACTACGGAAGCCTGAGGCAGGAGAGTTACTTGAGCCCAGGTGTTCAAGACCAGCCTGGACAACATAGCGAGAATTTGTCCCCCCCCAAAAAATTAAAACATTAGCCAAGTGTGGTAGTGCATGCCTGTAGTCCAAGCTACTCAAGAGGGGAAGACTGAGGCTGGAGGATTGCCTGAGTCCAGGAAGTTGAGGCTGTGTTGACCCATGATTGTGCCACCACATTCCAGCCTGGGTGACAGAGTGAGATTCCAATTCAAAAAAATAATAAAATAACATAAAATGTTTTGTATACATTTTTCAACTTACAGATGCATATTTCTGTGGTATGACAGCATCCTCCCCTTCCTTTGACATAAATAAATAGTTGGGGTGGGTGGTTGCTGGCTACCCCATCTTCACTTTTTCTTGTGCTCCGGGCATTACCTTTGTCAATGAAAGTGCTGATCCCATGTGGGTTGAACGATTCTCTGTCGAATCCACCACTGATATCGAGTGCCTGTGCCTTTGGGTTTTGCTCATTCAGGTCCATCAAGAAGATTCTTCCCGGCTCATCTGGTGCAAAGTTTGGCATGCCTGGATATTTTAATCCCTTAAAAATTAAAGAATAAGCATGCACACACACAGCTCAAACAAATTTCCTATGGAAGTGAAAATCTCCAGGCCAGTCAGGAGGGTTCAGGATTCTGAATGTAAGCTAGATTTCTCGGCCTTTCCCTGTTGGCTGTGGCCACAATTTGATCTGGTCTGGACTGGGGGTTTCCAAGGTCATCTAAGCAGTGCCATGGAAATAGGAGAAGCCATATTCAGGATAAGGAAGAACTTTTACTTTAGGGAGAAGATGTTGAGCCAGAAATTAAGACCAAAATGGCTGGGCTGCGTTACTTTGTGTGAATCCCTCCGCATACCCAAACCTGGCATTCCTCATCTGTAACGTGGGCTAGTTAAAATGCATGACTGCCAGAGTCTCCCCAGTGCTGCTATTCTGTGACTGACCTTCCTCAGGGCAGGGATCTGTGGCTTCGTCGCACCTCTGTCATCCTGCATTATTGTACCATGTGGCAGCACACAGCAGAGTAGGCTAAGAATTAACATGGAGGCCAGGCACGGTGACTTACGCCTATAATCCCAGCACTTTGGGAGGTCGAGGTGAAAGGACTGCCTGAGTCCATGGGTTCGAGACCAGTCTGGGAAACTTGGTAAGACCTCATCTCTATAAGAAATAAAAAAATTAGCCAAGCGTGCTGGCATGTGCCTGTAGATCCAGCTACTTGGAAGAATGAGGCAGAAGGATCACCTGAGCCCAGCAGATTGAGGCTGCGGTGGTTGTGAGCATGATACTGTGCTCCAGGCTGGCTGATGGAGTGAGACTTCAACTTAAAAAAAGAAAAAAAGAAAATATGTTTAAACAGAAACTTATGGCCAGGCGCAGTGTCTCATGCCTATAAATCCCAGTACTTTGGGAGGCCGAGGCGAGAGGATTGCCTGAGCCCACGGGCTCAAGACCAGCCTGGGCAACTTGGTGAGACCTCATCTGTACAATAAATAAATAAATAAAATAATTAGCTGGGTGTGGTGGCGCACACCTGTAGTTTCAACTACTTGGAAGGCTGAGGTAGAAAGATCGCCTGAGCCCAGCAGGTCGAGGCTGTGGTGGTCATAAGTGTACCACTACACTCCAGCCTGGGTGATAGAGTGAGACTATGATTCAAAAAAAAAAAAAAAAAAAAGAATTAACATGGGCTGCTGGACTCACAGTGCTGACCATGGACCTGCTTTGCTCCTGTATAAATATCTGAGAATTCTGTCATGACTGCCTTTGTCCAAATATTTCCAAAATTTACTCCAGTACTTGGACAGTGGCTGTTTCTCCTAGGAGGGCTGGGAGTCTATCAGCCAACCATGGGCATCCTGAATGCATGGAGCCTTGGCCACGACCTGGTCCATTGTGCCAAACCCTGGGACTGGTTCGCTTTACACAGATCACAAAAGAACCTACGTACTCCTCATCACTCTGGCATACATCAGCGTTGACAACGCTGCATCTTCTCCTATGCCCTTATTACCATTATTGGACCATTTAAATTCCTCCATTTTAACTCTACTTTCTCTTCCTGTCTCTCTCCCCTTGCCCTTTCTTCTCTCTCTCTTTCTCTCTCCCTCTCTCTCTGTGTTTCTTCCTCTCTCCCCCTCTCTCCCTCCCTCTCTCTCCTTCCCTCTCTTTATCTCTGTCCCTCCTCCTCTCTCTCCTTTCCTCTTTCTCTCTCTGTGTATCTCTCTTCTCTCTCCCTTTCTCTCCCTCCCTCTGCCTCCCTCTCCCTCCCTCCCTTCTTCCCTCTCTCTCCTTTCTGTGGGTCTCTACCCCTTCCTCTCCCTCCCTCTTTCTTTCCCTTCTTCCCCCTCTCTCCCTCCCTCCCTCCCCCTCTCTTCCTGTTTCTCTCTCCCTCTCCCTCCCTCTCTTCCTCCTTCTC